TCGGTGCCTGCCATGCCGACCTTGAATTGCGAGAGCAGTGATGACCAGTGTTCCCTCTAAGCTGAGTTAGTGTGAGCTAGCTCACAGGTTTTTAGCCTCTGGCTCACACATTTTTGTCTCAGCTCAGGAAGGAGGGCTCCAGAGCAGTAGCTGAATTACTCACTCACAACTTTATTGCCAGTAGCTCATAAAGTAGAAATTTTGCTCACAAGACTCCATAGCTTAGAGGGAACATTGGTGACCACTGTTCCCTCTAAGCTGAGTTAGTGTGAGCTAGCTCACAGTTTTTTAGCCTCTGGCTCACACATTTTTGTCTTAGCTCAGGAAGGAGGGCTCCAGAGCAAATTAATCTGTGCAGCAGCCAAATTCCTTGCTCACAACTTTAATGCCAGTAGCTCACAAAGTAGAATTTTTGCTCACAAGACTCCACAGTTTAGAGGGAACATTGGTGATGCCCCGCCTGTGTCTGACGGTGCAAGAACAACGGTTTGCCCTTCCCCCCCCCCCAGTTCCCTTTCTAAATAACCACTGGGATGTTTACATGGAGTACAGTTTTACTGGGAAGGAAACGAGATGCAAATACCGCAATTTGCCTGCCCGTCGGATGGAATTGCATTTCTTTGGCGTCTTCAGTAGCCCGAGCGGTTGCCTCTTGCTGTGTGCGGCCCGTTCCAGGGAAGCGGGGTTACTCCAAGAAAATCCGGGAGTGTATTGGGGGGGGGGGATGAGAGGACAGGATCGCTCCACTGTTCTTCTCGCAGGTTGTCGTGCCGTCGCCTTTCTGTGCAGCTGCTCCTCTCGATGGCTGGCCGTGGGGACGTGTGTTGGATTTCCTTACCAATGACTTGCCAGGATTCTTATCGACAGCTGCCAGTGGAACAGGAAGAGGCCCCCTTCCCCTCAGAGCCAGGGTTCCCTCTAAGCTGAGTGAGTGTGAGCTAGCCCACCGTTTCTTAGCTTCCAGCTCACATATTTTTGCCTTAGCTCAGGAAGGAGGGCTCCTGAACAAACTAATTTCTGCAGTAGCCAAATGGCTCGCTCACAGCTTTAATGCCAGGAGCTCACAAAGTAGAATTTTTGCTCACAAGACTCCGCGGCTTAAAGGGAACATTGCTCAGAGCCTAGCGAAAGAGGCAAAATGTCTGCAGTCTTTGGGCCCATGAAGAACCCCCTCCCCTTTTATTCCCAATGTGGGGGAACCCTGAAATGTTGGAGGAAATGGGGGGAAAATATATATACAATACTTGCTGTCTTACCAAGGTTAATTTCAGGTGGGTCGCTGTCTTGGTCCGAAGCAAGAGAACAGAATTTGAGTCCAGTGGCACCTTTAAGAGCAACAAAGTTTAATTCTGGGTAGAAGCTTTCGTGTGCACCCAGAATTAAACTTTATTGGTCTTGAAGGTACCGCTGGACTCAAACTTTGTTTGGCTAAGTTTACACGGTCACTCGATGAACATGGAATGCGTTTCATATCCAAATTAGACGTGAAAAAAATGAGAAGTTTGGTATAATTTTGAAATTTGTAAGTAAGCTGCGGTGGCTCAAGTGGTTAAGACGCTGAACTGCAGATCGGAAGGTCGGTAGCTCAGCGGTTCGAGATCCGAGTGCCGCATGACGGAGTGAGCTCCCGTCTCTGGTCCCAGCTCCTGCCAACCTAGCAGTTTGAAAGCAAGAAATTGCAAGTAGATACATAGGTACCGCTTCGGTGGGAAGGGAACAGCGTTCCGTGCGCCTCGGCGTCTAGTCTATGCCGGCCACATGACCACGGAAATGTCTTTGGACAGCGCTGGCTCTTTGGCATGGAAACGGAGATGAGCACCGCATCCCTAGAGTCGGATTCGACTGGCTTTTGAGCAAGGGAAACCTTGACCTTTACTAAGTATAAGTGAAACAAAGCTTGAGACCAACAAAGTTTAATTCTGGGTAATAAGATGTTATCTGAAGAAGGTTGCGTGCACGCGAAAGCTTATACCCAGAATTAAGCAAACTTTGTTAGTCTTGAAGGTTCTCCTGGACTCTTGCTCTTTTCTACTGCGGCGGACAAGACTAACACAGCGACCCGTCTCGATCTGTCCTTCACAGCTTAACCACCCCTTTGTAACCAGTTTTGTGTAGTGGTTAAGTGTGCGGACTCTAATCTAGGAGAACCGGGTTTGATTCCCCAGTCCTCCACTTGCAGCTGCTGGATGACCTTGGGTCAGTCACAAGTTCTCTCAGAAGCTCTCTCAGCCCCACCTACCTCACAGGGTGTCTGTTGTGGGGAGGGGAAGGGGAAGGAGTTTGTAAGCCGCTCTGAGACTCTGAGAGAAGGGCGGGGTATAAATCCAATCTCCTCCTCCTCCTCCTGTTACTAACTGCACTCTTTTACCCCCGGCAGGGTGGGAGTCTCAGCTCCTCGAAACAGGTTTTCTAGGGATCTTCCTCTGCCCGTTCTGGACGTTCTCCCAGCTGCCCAAACGGACGCCTCCTTCCCGCATCGTCATCTGGGGTTATCGGTGGCTCATTTTCCGAATCATGCTGGGAGCGGTAAGTTGTCTTTTTTTATTTTTACGTTTGGGCCCTCGGTAGCGGTTGATCGTCAGGGAACGGAGGAAACGAGAAGGCTGGCGAAATTCTGGCGCCCGTCGGGCTTGCAAAATAGCCTGTTGTCTGGTCACCTGTGGTCACTAAAAATCGCCTTCGGGTGACCAGGAGGAATGATTTTTTAAAAAAACAAGTAAGCACCAAATGGCTACTATGGATAGGTGTGTTGGTGGTTTTGGGGCAGTAGTTTCTGTGTACTTACTTGAAGGGCGTATGAAAGAGAAATGCATAGAGAGAAAACGTTTAGGCCTCAAATTGTTTTGTCCCAATCCCAGTCGTAACAGAACTGCTTACATGAAATAAGTTTTTCTGGACCTTGGGACTATGAGACTATTTTCATTATTTTACACTTTATTAAACTTGTATCCTGCCTTCCCTGCAAGCAGGGCCTTCTAGAGAGCCAGTGAGGAGCCTGGACTCTAATCTGGGAGAACCGGGTTTGATTCCCCACTCCTCCACATGCAGCTGCTGGTGTGACCCTGGGTCAATCACAAGTTCTCTTAGAGCTGTTCTCTAACGAGCTGTTCTCTAACGAGCTGTTCTCTCACGAGCAGTTCTCGAGAGAGCTCTCTCAGCCCCCCCTACCTCACAGGGTGTCTGTTGTGGGGAGGGGAAGGGAAAGGAGATTCTAAACCGATCGGAGACTCCTTCGGGTAGTGAAGGATGGGGTATAAATCCATCTCTTCTCCTAGAGACCTATCTCACTGTCTGTCCTGTCCTCAGGGGCTGTAGCACTTCAGAGTTCACCTTAAGCTTAGGTCTATGTTTTTTCTGATGTTGACGGATGTTTGCCAGTTTTGGGGGGAGGTGGCCGCTCAAGTTAGCGTCAGCAGTAGAATGTTGACAAACAGTGCATATCTTGTTTTGAGGGAGGCAAAAAATTGTCTCGGGCACTCGTAGTTGACCGACTGCTTTCCATGATGGATGGAGCAGACATTTGTAAGGAATCATAATATGGGAATGACAATAATGGCTCAGGGGATACCATTGTGCACCCAGTGAGGGGCGGGAGCCCAGTTCTTGGAATGCGCACCATGTTCCAGCATCACAAGCCCCTGTTCCCCGAGCACATTAAACGGGCTTTCTTTCTTGAATGTTTTGGCTGCCTCGGAACGAGGGTCACAATTCTCTGCACGCTAGCCAGTTGAGGGGTTAAGCATTCTGCATCTACGGGTCCCTGGATCATTTGGGGACCTTCACGGTTTCCTGACGACGTCGCTTTCATTTCCTCGGATCTCCCTTGTGGCCTGCCTTCAAAGGCGCCGGCCGAACAGAACGCCGCCTTCCTCCATTTTTGCTTTCCCCTCCCGCAACACAGGTGCCGACTGTGGCTGGCCCCGGCCCGGTTAACTCCTCCTCTTGTCCCCGAGATGACACCCACCTCGTCCCGGGAGGCAACGGCAAGGCTCTCTGTCTGCAAAAGCTATCAGGCCTTCCCACAGCAAGGGACCCCTCGGGGCTACGAGGCAATGCCGCACCTGCTGCGCGCAGCCAAGGTTCAGTTGTCTGAAGTTTAGCTTTCACCGTAGGGAAGCAAAGCAAAGCCCTCCCCTGCCTTTGTAGAGGGGGGGCTGCTCTCCGGACGGGGCTTGAGAGGCAGCCGGTTTTATTTGCAGACGAGTCATAAGAACATCAGAGAAGCCAATGTTGGATCAGGCCAGTGGCCCATCCAGTCCAACACTCTGTCACACAGTGGCCAAAAATACCTGGTGCCATCAGGAGGTCCAGCAGCGGGGCCAGAGGACACTAGAAGCCCTCCCAATGTTGCCCCCCCCCAAGCACCAAGAATACAGAGCATCACTTGCCCCAGACCGAAAGTTCCTATCTATATCTTGTGGCTAAGAGCCACTGATGGACCTCTGCTCCATATGTTTATCCATTTCCCTCTTGAAGCCATCCATGCTTATAGCTGCCACCACCTCCTGTGGCAGTGAGTTCCATGTGTTAATTACTCTTTGGGTGAAGAAGGACATCCTTTGATCCGTTCTAGCCCGACTGCTCAGCAATTTCATGGAGTGCCCACGAGTTCTTGTCTTGTGCGAAAGGGAGAAAAGGACTTCTTTCTCTGCCTGCCATATTGCATGCATAATCTTAGAAACCTCGATCAGTCCTGGGAGGTCTGGAGGGTGGGACAGGGCAGCCATGGAAGTCTAGCCCTGGAAGCAATGACCCCGTGTCGAATGATGCTCTAAGAATACCATGGAGATGGGGGGGAAATCTTCCCGTGATCTTGCCACATTGTGTGTCCTGGTTTCCCTCTTACTTTTGTTTCCTGCTAGAGTTGCCAGCCCAGGGTGGGGAAGGACCTGGCGATTGGGGGGGGACTTTCTTCATAGGGAAAGGATTTATATTCCTTTTTATTGGCCAGAACCCTCTACGTAACCGTGCTGGGGGTAGGTGGGAGATTTTGGCTTCCATGTCCTGCTTCCGTGCCTTCCAGGATCATCTGGTTGGCTACTGTGTGAAACAAGATAGTGGAATAGATACCCTCCCCTTTTGGTCCGATC